TCACAACTGCTCTAAATTAGAAAAGTTTTATCTAATATTGTATAAATGTATGGCCGAACACTGTCTTTTAAGATACAGGTGTCACCTAGTTTAAAAGGCAGGGTTTTTTACTGATTGAACATGGATATTTCGATATTACCGACGACTAAAATTGTCCTGTAACTAACATGTACTGTAAATTTCTATGTATAATTGTTTTGGAAATAAATTTATTATTATTATTATTATTTTCCTCTTATCTTGAAAATCGGACTTAGGCAGCAACTATATTTCTAGCTGGGTTTCTATTCCCGGCGGTGTTCCCCAGGGTTCCTTAATGGGTCCATTGCTTTTTACGATTTACGTGAACGCCATCGATACCTGCTTCCAAAGTTCTAATCTGCTCTGTTTTGCTGATGATATGAAGATCTATTCTGTAATATCATCGGCAAAGGATGTGCAGGCGCTTCAAGCAAACTTATCACGACGTGATTATTACTGTCAAATAAACAAATTAGAACTAAACCCCGCTAAATGCTCAGTCCATACGAACTTAGGGGACAAGTATTACCAAGACGTGATACGGTGCAAGACCTTGACGCTTACCATGATGCGAAGCTACTGTTCGATGTGCAAATTGGGCAAAATATTGCTGAAGCTTCCAAGGCTTTGGCGTTTGTAATGAGAATTTCCAAATGTTTTGTAAAATCTAAAACGCTTAAAATTCTCTACTTTACTTTTGTTAAGAGCCACCTGGAGTATGCCTCGCAAGTTTGGTACGTTTGCTATCATAGGTACATCGATCGCATTGAGAACATACAGAAACGTTTTCTGAGGTGCTTGTGTTTTCGTCTAAATATTCCTTATAGGTAAAACAATTACATTGGTCTGTGTAGGAAATTTCATATCCAACCACTTATAAATCGACGTCGATTGGCTGATTGTTCGTTTATTTGAAAATGATTTCTAATGAGATTGACTATCCTAGCCTCCTGCAAAAGTTAAAATTTAATGTTCCCCATAAGTAGATTAGATTTAATCTATCCATTTCTATTCCATTTTCTTCCTACAACTATAGATTTTTTTTATTTCAATAAATTGTGCAAGGAGTACTCTTTTGATCCCTTTAATACCAAAAACAATGCCGTGCGCAGTATGCTAAACCTTATTTTTTTCATTCGTAACATTTTAAGATCGATTGTTATTTATTGTATAGGTGTAATATCGCATTAGTTAGTGTTCCAGAACTTTGTTGAATTACAATGATTCTATTCGTCAAAACTTGTAATTGGGTTGATGTAGTATATAAATCTGACAATTGACTGCACGGATGGCGTAGTGGTTTAAGCGGTCGCCACGCCACTCACTACTAAGCTACGTGTTGTAGGTCCGATCCCCACATGTTGTACTGAGTCTGGGTGTTCTTTGTGATTTTTGGCCTAGTATACCAGGCTGGCCAGTCTAAAGATTTTCTTTCTTAGCAGTGCTTTTGTCATACGTAGTTTTATCTTCCTTAGTCGGCTGTTACTACACCCACGGGATGAATAGGGGTGGTGAGTGTGGTTACACACCGTATTCATCATTCGTCACCATTCGGACAATTTTTCTATAATACTTAGGTTTTCACAGTGAGTTAGTCTTCTGATCTTCTGCAATGGACAGGTAATTTGTAACTATTACTGATTATCTAAATACAGAGTGTAATAGTTATACCAACTACAGGCTATATTGGCTATTAAGTAGGTATTTGCTGTAGGTCTTTACTTGTAGTAAGCTTCTTATCGCTACATCAAACGAAATAGAATCTGTATGAGAACAGTTTCAATTGCAAATATCGTATATTGCGCAGTTTATCTTGAAGTATTACTTAATTTGTCCACATTATATCTTCAGCAAATGTTATATTATTTGTTACTGTACTTTCTTTTAAAGCTTTTGTACTGATTTTAAACTGACTAAACTACAATCTTCTAAAAATCAGTACTTTATTATCGAAAAACGAACCCTGGCTTTGAAATTAAACTCTATGATTAAATGGTACTAACAGCTATAGACTTTGTTCGTTTGGTTGAACGCACTAATCTCAGGAACTACTGGATCAAATTGAAAAATTATATCAGTGTTTGATAGCCCATTTATAGAAGAAGGCTCATCATCATCAATGGAAGCTAAGCATTAATAAAAATATTTATAAAAATGTTATAAACACGGGAAAGATTTATTCCTTTTGCAGCTGGTCACTTATAGCTTTGCTATTATTACTAGGTGTTGTGTCCGTATAGTAGTTTGGTGGTTAAGTTAACATAAAATATATATCGTATAGCGTTATTATACGCATTGAAGTCTGTTATCATTTTAAAAAAATGAATTATACCATAACGAATACTGTTAATAATTTAGTATATTACAAGATAATCTAAACATTTTCATCCGTTATAGAATTCTTTCTGTAACTAGAGCCCAATTATCTTAGCTTGGTGACTGGTCATCTTGCTCTGTGAAATATTAGCTGTCTCCACAGGACGTTGTCAGCAAAGGCTTGCAAGGATTAATTAAAACCAGGTTATTCTGATACTCGTATGTCAAAGGTATATAGTTACCTCGTAATGAAGGCATCTTCTATACTGGCGCGTGGAAAATGTACTCAGCTGATTTGTGGCTCGAAATTTTGTTTGAGATTTTAGTAGCAATGAAAATATTTCACTTGTTCTTTTTTTTAAATCTATTTTAAAAATTTAAAAAAATCTTTATAATTGCACTTGGAAAGCATCTATTGTTTAATTTTAGGTTTTCTTCGCTGTGCGATACTTTAAATTCCTCACATTTGGTGTTTAAGAGAAAAAAACTACATTGTTTTTTATTTTTTATCTTAAAATTATAGCTTAGTATACATAAAAAAAAAACAACTCACCTGATTTTGGTTTGACATAAATTGAGTACTAAATCGAAATGTCTAATATTTTGTTAAAAAGGAATTTATTACTATGATACCTTCTGTTAAACAGAAAAAAACAAATTAGGTACTTTAAAATCAAAATAGAATTGAGTGCGTGTCTATTTCTTAATCATCATTTGCAAGGTAAATTGGTGTGTGCCAGCATAATCGCTTCAAGATAACTGCTTCAAAATTCATTTGAGAGCTTTGACCCGAATAAACTTACATGCAAACATTACATTTCAAATAAAAGCTTGTAATAAATAAATATCGGTGTTTGCGAATACTTATAAACGTATAATATTAATATTGGAATCCGAAGCTGTTCGAGCATTTCGAGGTTATAACACAGTATTTTATAAAGATCGTCTGCGACAGTGACACAATGTGATATCTGGTCTTTTTTTTAATTTTCAGTGGCACAGATATCCGTTGAGTTACGTTGTGTTGTTAAAATCGGACATTTTGTATATCCATAACAATTTATTAACGAGATATCTGGCAGTAATGTCGACCGTAAGGAGGTCATCAGTGGCCAGTTTATTTTATATAAATCGTGTTTAATTTAAGCTTTGGTCTTAAAATACTTGGATATTTTTGGATGTACATAAAAAGTGTGTGAGATATAAAATTACTAAAAACACTTGCGGGACACTTTTCTTTAAACATGAGTTGTAATTGTCTTATAAAATGTTTGATATAGTATTTGGGCAGTAGATATACATAACCAGCCTGTAGGTCTAGTGGTTAGTGACCCTGACTGCTACGCCAGAGGTCGTGGGTTCGATTCCTGCCCAGGACAAAAATTTGTGTGATGAGCACGGTCATTTGTTCTGTGTCTGGTTGTACTTTAATTATAATATGTATCTATTTACAAATATATGCTTATGTTTCTCAGCAGTCTGGTTACCATAGTTTGGTATCAGGCGGCCGTGTGTGAAATAATATAAAAGTATTAATATTCTACCACATTCACACAACGCCATCTGGTACCAAACTAAGCAGAGCTTGTACTATGGCTACTAGACAACTGATATAAATACTTTTTTTTGGAAATACATATATATTATACATAGAAACACTCGGACCAAATCAAACATTAAATGTTCATGCACACAAATGTTTGACTTGAGCGGGCATCCAACCCGCGACCTTTGGAATAGCAGTCCGTTACACAAACCACTACGCCATCCGGTCGTCGGTGTGAAAATATTTAAAAATAAACACGGGTAATGGGTACCACATTTTTTTAAGCTTGGAAGGTACGGAGGTAAAACGAGCAGACAACTCACCTAATGGTAAGTGACAACCATCGCCCATGATCACCAGCGACTCATGAGACACCAGTGATAGAATCATGTAACGAAAAAATTACATAAAATAAGTACATATATGTATATCGATGATGTTCTGTATGTTTTGTGTATTATTATAGATATTGCATTGTAATCATAGATGCAACTGTCCCTTACCATGCCGTGGCAACTTGTAAGTAAGACAACACTCAGAAAATAATTGTAAAACATGTTTGTAAATTATGTATTAGTGTATGTTTTGTAAGTTGTCCTATATAAATAATTAAATAAATATCTTAAAGCGCAACTAGGTATACATATATAAAATACAACATACTACATTACATACCATTTTGTCGTTTAGTAAGGATTGACTTTCAAGGCATAAATTCAAGTTCTACGAAAATAGGATTTCATTATCAATCTTTTACTTATATATATCTATACTTTATCAAATCTTTACTTTATGGTCGGCCCTGGTTGCCATACGAACATCTGTAGTAATCGTTATGGGTATTTGGAGCCCTAAAAAGTCTTTCTACAGAACTTGGATATCGCCTAGTGCTTGGGTCGTGGAGTTCTGATGGCAGTCGTATCGCGTAAAATATCGAAGTTCAGCCGTATCGTAGTAGACTTTAGCCGAACCCAACCTAGTTCGGGAGCTCGGGTTCTCGGAGGAGGAGATGCTTTACCATAGCCGTCTTTTTACGTGAAAGAGCCATTTTCCCGAGGATTAGTACCACATTCTTAGGTACATGATTGTATAATTACAGGACTTTGCCGAAACTGCGATGAACGAGTTGCTCGGCTGGTACGGCTATGAGAGGTTGGAGCTACGGCGATGGGCAGCCTCCAGAGCCCGGGACGGCTCCAGCCCTGAACAAACCAGCGAAAACAAAACTAAAGGTAACTCTATTTTTTTATTCTTTTATGACTTTTACACGACATAAACTTGACTGATATTTGGCTTTTTCGGCGATCTTTTTTTCTTTAATTATATAATTCATCTTGCAGTCAATACTCATCAATTAAAATATAAAGCTTCAAACTTATAATTATAGATATTATTCGTATCATACGTTAGGACAAGTCGACACCCCATTACCCTAGGGGTCCTAGTGTTCGTCCTGTTTAGAAAGAACTAGCTAAGCGACTTGTCGACGTGTCCCGTGAACAAAAGACGAGCACAGTGTTAGCATTTTTTTTTTTAATTTTGAAAACACTACCAATAGGTGACGATGCGAAATAAGTTTTTGACGCATGCATATAAATAGTCCAAATAGAGTAGTAGGTACATTAATATATCTATATTAATTAATTCAATTAGTTTATTTAATTAAAATGTAGTTCACATTGATATCTAAATACTGGTCGTAAATGCTGCTTAGACTGGACTTTTCATTTTTGCTGCTAAAAAAGTTAAAACCCAGTCGGCGTGCTTATGGCATTGTTTTTAGTTATTGTTTTATTTGATAATATAACTAAAAACCGATGTTATTTGATAATTTTCTAATCAAATTTCCTTCCATCTTTCTTAAAGCTTAGTTAATCTTTAACTATCGCCAAGGAAATCGGTTATAAATAACTCATTTATAGTCGAACGGGTAACTCTTAAGCAACTTTCCAATGCGGGCATAATTTATTTCACATGTCTTTACTATTAAAGAGAAAGATGCATCTTAATATAGGTACTTGAATCCTGTATCGTTTAACTGGTTTAGTTGAATCTTCCCATGTCTCAAATTTCAAGTGAAATCGATCGCCATTGCTGACACATAATATGAGCGTTTGATGGCCGACGATAAATTACACAAATGACTCATTATTTATATTCTGTACCCGGCTGTCTTACTTTAATTACACTTTTTTTATATTATCGGACAGCTCAGTGTATTTGATAAATACGCGTCTCAGACTCATGAAAATGCCTTCATACTTAGGCGTTACTTAACGAAACCGCTTTATAAAAGAATACTCTTAAAATTTTCATTGATACTCGACTCCTATGGGTTTCCTCAATAAATGGGCCATCCAACACTAAAATATTTTTTTAAACCAAACATAAGAAGCTTCTACGAAAGTAGAAGTCCTTTTCGTACATCCATGTAACTACCTCTAATTCGTTCTATGTCAAGTTTAGAGGTTTTTGAAAACTGAAATAAAAATAGATTCCTGGAATATTGTAATTCTAGCTGCTCAGGGCTGTTAATTGAGAATGTGTATAAAACCAATAACGAGTTTTAGAGTTTTATGTTTTTTATGTTATGGGGTGCAAGTGACTTCACGTGTTATCTGATGGTAAGTGACTTCCGCCACCTATTAACGCCTGTAATTCAAGAGGAATTGAATTAGGAGTTTTCCTCAGGTAACCTCACTCACTCAGCGAAGCCGAACGAAAAAATTGATTAACACCGGCCATATGTACCAAATAATGGCTCTTACAATGATTAGGCATTTTCTTCAATTGCCAAAGTTAATTTGAAAAGTAATGGGTAGGTAACTGCCTCGGTGGTGCAGGTTCGATTTCCGGGTCGGACCAAATGTTTGTATGATCTGTAAATATTTATTTCGGTGTTTGGGTATTTTCTACCTATAATACTCGTATAAAGTAAAAAAAAAAATAGTATAAAGTATTCTATCAGTCAATCTAGTTTTCATAGTACAAGCTCTGCTTAGTTTAAAACTAGATGACGTTGTGTATCAGATGTTCGAAATATTATTGTAATAACTATTATAAACCACGGCTAAACTGCCGTCCCTAGGGACATTCCGGACACGTGTACCTTTGCTGATAGGGTATTTATGTCACTGGAACAGCCTGTCATCAATTTGACGAGCCATTCATGAAAATAGGGAAAAGACGGCCTTTTAACCTTTTAGTAGTTTATAAGATTTGTCTCATAAAGTTAGGCACAAGTGTACAAACCTTGTACCTGGATTTATATTCTAAAAACATATTCTTACAATCTTGAAAGTACGTAATACTATAAATGTAAGTAAGGCATGTAAAAGATTACATATCCGTTATTGTTTTCCTTTGATTTATGACGCAATATGAAATAAATAATATTAAATTTCTTAGAATCCGAACCCTCTACCCGTTGCAGCTGTAGTTCTACGAATAGACGTGTTTCCGAACGCAACCCTCGCGCGCTTTCGTTATAAAAATGGCGCCAAAACGAATCACGCAGTGTGATCTCACAGATAGTAATCCAATTTCTTTACTATTTAGTTTAAAAAACTCGTTTTCTCCGAACTCCTAATATTTACGGGGTGTTATATGAATTTTAATGTCGATAAAGCAGTTTATAACACTCACGTGTGTAATGTGATAAAAATCGCTGAGCAAGAAATAAACAGTATACTGAAAGCTTTGTAAATTCACATAAGCGGTACATCGACTTTAGCAAACGTACATTATTTACAAATTTGATACCGCAAAGCCGGTTTACTATTCCTAATGAACGCCCGCGTGTTCGTTGTATCAGCAGGTACCTATGTATGTATGTGTGCCGCAAGTGAAAATGTAGAACTTTGTGGTTAAATTGTGATGATTAGGAATGGATAACGTTACAATATAATGTTACATATACTCCTAACACATGCGTCAATTTAGCACGAAACAAACACTCCCTCTGAAATATAATAGTAAATATTACTCACGAGTTTAATTACTAAAATATCGTTTACAAAGGACGTTTTGTAATTTGTATTATTTTTCCTGGCGATAGTATCTGTATTGTTGTCCTGTAAGGTTTACTGAACTGATTGTGTTAACCTATTTACACGAAGGTACTAGAGATCGTCTGGCCTTTTAATTACTACCATAGTTAATTATGTTTTTTTTTATTTGACCTGTATAACTTGAACTTTCATGGAATTTTGGCCTTTTCGACATGACATGACAGGTTAATATAAGGTACTTCATTTTTATTTTGGTTTAGGTGGTTTCCAAATACTTGGACAGCTTCTTTATGTTATAAATCTATGTTCTATTGTATTATAAATCTGTGTTTATTTTTCTAATCTGTATTATTTAGAGAACATCAGTCTTTTCTGGATGAAAGGAGAGACTAATAGAATACGTATTTAATGACAAAAAATAAATTTATCAACATACGAGTACTTATATGCAAGCTTTCATGGTGCGAAAAACAAAAATTTACATCTATTTTTTTTTTATCAAAGTATAAAGACTTTTTAAATTGCTTCTTTCAATTGAACATAAAATCGTTAGTTTTCAGTTACTTACCGATTGGAAAAACGTGAATTAATAAGGTCTATAACGAGCTATCATTCTCCGTCCAGATAAACGAATCGCAGTAATGAGAATGCCGGTTTAGTGTTTCATGAGTTTTTTTTGCTCTGTCGAATATCATTCACAAATTAATTGGAGATGGATACTCGAAGCTCACTTACTGTTTCCGAAAACATTTTTTATTGTAACTTAAATGCGATATTTGATGTTGCAGCTTTCAGTTCTAAATTTAACCGGGTTCTTATACTTCTATTGCGTCTGATCTTATTTGTTTTTGATACTTTAAAGTATGTTATATGTATGAATGTATAATAAAAGCAATTATTTAATTTAACCTTACACATTTTTGACACCGCCGTCTGGTCTCAAAATAGGCAGAGCCTTTTCTATGGTAACCAGACTTCTGATAAACGTACTAAGTAATCTATTGAAAATTAACAAACAATGTTCACATCTCGTACTACTTCTGCCATAGTCATGGACCCCAGCCCCTTTTTATTATCTTAGCGTTATAATAAATAACATGTTGTAAGTTCAAAGATTAAATAATAATTTTATAAAGATATAAATTAAAAATATCGTTTTTAAGGATTAATTCTTTTAGCACAAAATATATACATACCATAAGAGCATGCATTCCTCACAGAAAACCGTTGTTAAACAATTCTTTCGATACTTTTCAACCAGTAAGTGAGTTTACTGGAGCCTTAAAACCTATTTCTGGGTGAGAAGCGGGAAGCTCAAAAGAAACGACTTGTGGGTGTTCTTGGGCGGCGGTAGCCACTTACCATGAGATGACTTTTTACTTTATAAACAAATTATCAGAATGTAGGTACACTCCTCTATCTTTGGAAAAAAAATCTACAATAGATTATTTTTCGGTTTTTTAAGTTTTTGTAAAACATTTTGTGCATCAATTTGTTATTCTTTAAGACGTCTGATTTTCGTGTTGCTCTCGCTGATCTCCAAATCCTTTATAATCATTTAATACTCTAAATGTAAGCGGGGGTCGAGATAACCAGGCACCATAGCCGACCAAGACTTTAAATAAGATAAATCAACTAAACAAGATAAATGTCTAAATCAACTGTAGCTAAAATGCACCTAATTCCTGTTTTCTCTGTATCACCCAATGGTTGACTGGTAGAGAATGCCTTATGCATTAAGTCCGCCAATGCACCAAATGTGCATGATGTGTAAATAAAGCAATAATCCGATAGCGTTGCTATCAGTATGTCCATCAGATGTCGTTACAAGAGATTCTATAAACTATCCATTATCCGGTTTTCCTCTCTTTCTTCAGCAGATGAATGTTCTTGGTGCAACAAGAGTATTACCAGCGAGAGTGGGGCGTTGCAACAGGCAGGCGCCACTTTCTGTTCGGAGCTATGCTTCAGCCAGTCAAGAAGAGCAAACTTCAAACGAGCTAAGACGTGCGACTGGTGTCGGCACGTGCGTCATACGGTGGCTTACGTGGACTTTCAGGTAATAACATTAAATATTTTTTCTCTTATTTCAAGGTTATGGTCACATAATAATTGTATCCATTACAAAAAACAACTAACTGAAAATAGAAACTTAACCCGATATTATGCAATAGCTATTCATTTTTGCACCATATCTTTGTTTCAATTTATCTACTATATTTAAATCAACTTCTGAAAACCCCTTTTTAAAATGGTGATAGTGGTGATCGTACCAATTCCAAATAATTGATGTCGCTAAATGCATAAGTGTTTTGTTAGAACTTCATTACGGCGGTGTCGTTACCAAAAAAAAATGTTAACGACACTCCAGTGGTGTGGTTTAGTAGTGTCTTTTACAATACAAGATCATCATCAGCATTACATCACAGATCAGCATAGGTACATACATTTTCCTAATAATTGCACGTGATCCTGGTCCGCCTTGTTCACAGCTCTGCTACTTTAGGTCGTAGCGTGATCTTTAATAGTATGAACTACTTTCGAGAGATGGAAATAATCATTTTCGCTTTCTCTCTCCGATCATCTCATCTGTCAGCCGGTTCGAGCTGTCGTTCCAGCGATAAATGTAAAACAAAAAGAAACTCTTGAGTTTTTTTATATTAGTATACCTGGAAGTAATATGTTGTGTGTATCATGTACATTGTATATACGTCTATCAAAATCAATTTAGTTGTCTACCTATATTTTTTTTTTTAAGACGGATCTTGATTAAGTTATTCTAACGTCTGAGCCCGCGAACTCATGGATTAGTTCCCTACCTTGGACAAATAAGTTCCCCACCTTGGACAAATAAATATGTGATGGGCAACAGAGCTAATAACAGAATTTATCTAATTTCAGGACGGAGCTACACAGCTGCAGTTCTGCTCAGACAAGTGCCTGAACCAATACAAGATGCACATTTTTTGCCGTGAGACACAAGCGCATCTTGACCTTAATCCACATCTAGTGAACGCGTCCTCTTCCTCTAATCTCATCACTCCAGAATTATGGCTCAAAAACTGCAAGAGCCGCTCTGCGTCACCAACTTCCGAAAGATCCGCATCACCCAACCCAGAGAACACGTCTAATATACCGGGAAATATTGATAAGGCCGAAGTGCAAAAGACTCAAAATAGATCTCCTCTTCCACTTATTACTATTGCTCCAACAGCGAAGCTGATGAAGCAAAAGCGCCCGTCTGCAGACTCAATGCCTATTCAGAAGTCGCCCGAATCGAAGAAAGACTCCAAAAACACCAAAATGAATTTGCGAAAGCGGAGAACGTCGAAATGTTCGGCGACAGTGACTTCGCAGACTGTTAGGCAGCGAACTTCCACACCGAAAGCTCAAGATCTTCGAATGTGCAGTCCTTCGGAAGGATCTTCAGCTTCATCGACAGTCGGAAATACAATACATTCACCACCGCACCCCATAAATCCACATCCGCCTGCCCCACCTTTTCCTTCCAACCCTATGTTCTCAATGCCTCCTCCAATGTTCATGGAGAACCATGATCCTCGATACGCTCACATGTTCCCGCCCCGACTTAATTTCATGCCTCGGCCTGGACTCCTTGAGAGGCCTCGTCTGCCACCACCCCTAAATTTACCTCCATCAATACAAGGCTCGGTGCCGCCAGTAACTGTATTAGTTCCGTACCCTGTAATAATACCGATACCGCTTCCAATTCCTATACCAATACCGTTATCGGCGTTCGTCCAAGCCCACTGCGCCAATAAAGTTAAAACTGAAAGTAAGGCGGAAGACGTAGAAGGACCTTTAGATTTTACAATGAATAGCGACAAAAAGAAGGAAGAAGAAGCCGGGGGAAGTATTAACGAAACAATTCCTGAACCACCTGAGGATACCAGTCCAGATGCAGATCAAAACAACGAGCGGATAGAGGAAGACAAAACTGAAGGTGAAGGTACTGATGCTGGCAACCCAGAGCAGACTTTGCCGAAATTTAAAATAACAAGATTAGGAAACAAAATGGCCAAAATCGTAGCTAAAAGCAGAGAACCTTCAGAATCGACTAGACCGTTAAGGAAGAGGCGGAGACTCGTCGAAGCTACTGACGACGAAGCACTCATTCCACAGACGAGAAAGATTGTCGAAGTATAAAAGTAGTGTTGAATAATCTTATTAATCTCCGATACATATCACAAATGCATGATAATCCGAAGAGTTTATTATTCTTTCAGATTGCTAGTCTTAGCTTGTAAGATATAATAAATTTAATGTTATAGTTAGTTATTAGGAAGGCACTGTAAATGTGATATTAGTAACTTATTACTTCTATGTACGTCAAATAAAATGATATAATAATCTTTTATCTTGTTTTATTGTTATTAAAAGTTATATCAACGTTTTAAGACCGTGACAATCCCTAATCTGGTTGTAAATACAACGGAAAATAATCCGTCATTGTCAAACAGGCAGTTGAAAGAAAAGTAGACAAGATATAGATAATAAATCGAGCAGGTACATACCTTAAACATGATTGTAACTTTAGACGAATGCCTCCATCCAGGTATATTATGTGACACAGAGAAATAAAGATGTCTGACTCCCCTTTTAGGGGATTAATAGGTGAGATCATAAAATCCTACTATTTTTGTTTTATCGCGATATTACTAATTACAAGGTAAAACAGTCTGTAATTATGTTTACACTCTTCTGCGGGTAGCGTCTCGCTCGCCCGACCTAGATTTTGTCTATGGTCCGGAGCGACAGTGCATGGAGCGCTGTCGCTTCCTTTTGCAAGGAGGTGTAGTCCTCAAAAGAAGCGGCGGAACGGGAGAGACAACGCAGCACCGCTCTCTCTACCCGCAGAAGGCATTCGTCATCTCTAGCCACGTTAGGCAGTGGTCTGCAGGTGACTGTCGCAACAGGTAGCGAACCCCATCTTGGGTGAGAAGGGTCAATGCCTATCGGGGGTGGCGGAGGAATGCAATGTCGATTCTCGATCACACGGACATTGGCGAGAAGAGGAACACCGGGGTAGTTTTTAGTCGGTAAGATTCCGACAGACCCCTTCGCTCCTTTCCCCCCTGCATTGGGCGAAGGACATCCATGAGGATCTTCCAGCCCGTTATCGTTGTCATGAGTACATATATATACATATTTTAACGCATTCATATTCATCACATCCTTTTATTAAATGGTTTTCATTGCCTAAGTATCAGTGCCTAAAAACCATGAGGAATTCCTGTTGATCAATGTTGCTAACTTTCGCAATTTAACTACTGCAATCATTAATGCGTTGAGTTTAAGCGTTCGCCACGCCGCTTACGACTACGCTGAGTTTTGTGGGTCCGATCCCCACATGGGACGACACTGTGTGTTTGATCTACAATTTATTGTTCTATGTCTGGGTGTTCATTGTGTCCGTTTCATGTATGTTTGTAAAGTCCCCCGCGACACTGGATATATAATGGATGACTAATGCGGGAGATGTCTTTTAAAAAAAAAAACAAAAGAACAATTAACAGTATTTATGGTACCCAAGGCCCAATAATTACTATATAATAGGTAGTATATATAACCCCATATAAAAACTTACACGACTGCTCGATCGAACGGTACAGCCAATATTATTTTAAGAGTTTCACACAATTAAAATGCTTATATATTTATTGCTATTGATACTATATCAAAGTGTTGTGACAAGAGCGAGAACAAAATAATCGTTTAAATTCTTTAAAAAATGTCAGATAATCTGAAAACATGTTAACACGCCAACCTTGTGCAAAACAATGAATGATTCATAATGTTATGTAGATTCAGGTGTAACATATTTTCTGGCACATCTTGTGGTACTATCTAAGGTGTGGAATGAAACAATCATAAAATTCGCAGGCTTTTAATGTCTTGATTCTGATTATCATTGCTAAAAACCGCTTATGGAAAATATTGATTGGTATATTTTAACATTCTTACTAACTAAGCGCTAGGGCACACAAGGTGTTTTGTATGCCTTATTTAGAAATTTGTACATATTTTGAGATCTAATTACATTTCACATAGTATTAAACATTATTGCATTCTATAAAATTATACACTCAACAAATTACACTGTTGTTTGAAACACATTTAATGCTTCAAAACAATCTAAGGCAATACTGGCATGTTTATAACAGATTCTTGGATATGGGACCTTGTAGAAATTCAGTGACACGTCAACATAAAATCTTATCGCCATGCTCGGCAAAGTATCTTAACTTGATATTCATGTATAAGTTTACAATCGTAAGCTCACTTAAAAATTTTTTGAGCACTCTGACCTGATGTATACCCACACATAAATAACAAAGTATTAAGTAAATATGTTGGTAAATATCGAAATAGTATTTTGGCCAATACATTCTAAGTTCAACTTGAATGGTTTACTATGTAACATTTTCGACATTACCACTCTGAGCTCTGTAATATTCTACATCTACTTTTAAACATTACATATTTAATTTTTGTTATTATACAAATCCCAGAGCGTAATAGCACCGTCGAGTCCTCCAGCTGCCATGATGTGCGCTTTCCAATAAGAAACCTTCTCAGAGGAATATACTACATCTTGAATGGCTTTCTTGTGCTCTGTTAGCACTGCTAGCGGCCGAAGAGAGAACCAGGAGAAGATACGGATGTGACCATCCCAACCTCCGGAAACAAAAACTTTCCCATCAGACCGCGACTCGACTTTATTTATGCCTGGGTTTTTAATATTAATATCCATCTTGTGTGTTAAGCTTAAGTCTTTTCTCCCTATGCTAAAAATCTGTATCACATCTGAAGCATTCCCAATCATGCCTCTCTGCTGCTCATTGTGGTAATCGACAGACATGGGACATTCCAGTGTCTGAAGTTTACTAATACATTGACTAGTATTGAGATCCCACAGGACAAGCCATCCTGCTTCATACCCAACCAGCAAAGTTGGTCGGTCACAAGGAAATTCAATAAATTTCATGCACATTGGATCTCCAAGTTTCAGAGTAGAATCAGGCAGCAGACATCCTGCCGACTCTCCTGAGAAGTTGTAAATCAGGATTTTTGATTCCTTGTCAGGTACATAAAGTGTTTCGAGTTTTGTGTTGGCTTCAAAGCGGCAGAACCCAGGATAATCAACTTCTATCAAAGCATCTTCTTCATAGCCACTATTTGTTAAACTAAATATTTTAAACTTGCCACCTTTCTCCTGGGTGATGAGGTGGTTACTGGTGTGGATGAGGTGAAGAATTGGAGCTTGACCAACTTGGATCTTTTGTTGTACTCTGTTTGTCTGAAAATTTAAACACACAAAGCTGTAGAAACTAATGAAATTAGTATGCAATAAAACTCTTATATGGGGGTTAAAAACCTTTGCATGTTAGAAATACCTACATAATAGCATCTATGAAAAATTGTTAGATTATTACTTACATTGAAATGTGGAGCATTTATAACAGAGAGTAATAAAACATTTGATGAGCACCTACAAAATGAGGATAAAGGATGATTCATATTGGAACGTGCCGAGCAAACCATGGCTGTTAGGTACAGATTTTAGGTACAGAAATTATACGAACATTTTATATTAAACTCACGGCACAGACAAACGACGCGTGAGTTACTCACGAACATAGCCGCTAATCGGATTCGGTGGCTCGCAACGGGCACGGTCTAATCTAAATAATAATTAAGTGTTTGTATAAATTTGGCAGATGCTACGCAACTTTCTAGGTCAACAATCGAGGGTAGTAAACAAAAATGTCGCGCAATAAATGGAAGCCATAGGACACGTCATTAACGAATTCTGCGCACTTGTGTTTGGTAAATAATATCCTTGCACTATCTAAGTGATCTTACCTGAAGGTTGTATGCATAAACATAGCCGTTTTTCGAACCGGCTAGTAACCTCTCGAGACCGCCGGGCAAGAAACTAAACGCCAACGAATAAACAGGAACATTATCCACGTTCCTGATCGTATAGACGGGGTCTGGAGGTAACAGTGCCATATCTGGTCAAGCTCAAACCGAAATTATTTGTCGAAATTGGGAAAAATAAAATAATAACAAAATTAATCAAGCCATCAGAAACTCAACCACAACTACGCACAACACAAAACTGACATAAAAACAAAAAAAAACGAAACGTCACAATCGCAACGTTCGAAACATAGATCAAATAGCTTTCATGGCGTTGTCCTAGAAACTTAACGTCGTTATTAAGATTAAATTTAAAAAATAATATGGGTGAAGTTGTTGAATTACACACCCACTTTATTTATATGTCAGGCTATTTGAAACGCTCTTATTGTAAAACTTGTATTTAATTTATTTTTTCAAATACTTTGTATAAAGCTTACACGTCCATGTTTGTATTCTGTGGTAAACTTTAAAACAACTTTATAGGGGTGTAAACATCCAGTTTAAAATTCGTCTCTAATCGATTGAAATAAATCGATTGGATAAGAGAATTTGTAAGGTAATTTATTGCATTTTCAAATTATACAGTGTATTAAAAACCTTTACTTATATCGAAACCAGATCTCAAATGTTTCCTCCGAACATATCTCAATTTGCACTCACATTGATTTAAAAATATGTTTTTTCATGAGTGTATCACGAAGATGTGAGTAACCTTATAATGCTAAAGATAGTGAAAAAGTACATTATAAATACTAATAATATCAGTAACTCAAATATGAAAAAAAAATAAAAAAAAAAACAAAAATACATTTAAATATGTCTTTAATGCTGGCAAAATAAATTTAGAACTTCTTCATCAATCATCATTATCAACAGTCTTTAACAGTCCACTGCTGGACATAGGCCTCTCCTTAGAAACCTCCTTTCTAGAACTTCTTAAAGGTAATGAAATACAATAATGTAAAAACCCCGCCAATAAAGAGCGGCTTTAGCTACAGAAAGAGATTTTTTTTCCAAACAGTCAAAGTTTTTAGCTTTTTTGTAAATACTCAAACTTCAAATACAACAAACAAATGCTAGTGAACAAAAAGTATTCCTGTTTTCAACTCTGATTCTTTTCAAGAAAAACATTTTGGACAATTATTTCAATTTAACTCACAAATCACATAAATGAAGAAAATAATGGGAGTGCACCTGCAAGCAATGTGTCTAATTAATTTGTTGTGATTGTTTGTCGGATTTGTTGTCCTTTTGGATTTAGTTTTTGGAAAAAATCAAATTATTGGCAACGTCTCTTCTTTTTGTAAAAGCTGCGTTTCTTTAACTTTTATTCTGATTTATATTTACAGCCTTTATGGCGACTGGCTTTCAAGATTTTCTCTCTATAAGCAACTCACATTTAAAGAAGCCGAAAATAAAATCCATTTTGACCTTTCTGACAGAACTATTAACTTCGTCTTCTGTTTTACATCACAGTTCTGATCTCTTTAAGGTCTATTGATTTTTCAATATTGTAAATGTATATCTTAGTCTAATGAATTCAAATATACATATGTACGTATTCGTAATCAAAACATTTGCTGCTAAGATTTTTATGTACATTATATATATTTTTTAATCCTTTATGCAATTTTAGTTCGATTACTTATGAAATCGAGAATGAACTCGATTCTGTTCACAGCACTATCAACTACCAGCCTGTCTGTCAATTACCTCACTGCGTCAGTTTCTCTTCGCAAAGCAGTATTATCGTGTTTTGTATTATCGTGAATTTTTGAATGAGAAATAGTTGACCGTACCTAATAATGGGTTCCATATATAAATTAAGAAGATTAATTTAACCCTAGGATTTACAAATGGCTGCGGAGTGGCTTCTTAAAACGGGCAAGCATTCGAAGTATATATCGTATAGGAAAATCTTGTATCATAGGTTTTTTGTCGGGCTGCTTTTGTTTATAGTGATATCTTTAGTGTTTACTGTAGTGTTCAATGAATTTTCTGGCAGTTCACCACGGATAGATGTGTACCAAACTGTGAATTTGGACGCTACAAGTGTTGCAGCTATAAAAGTCAGTGCTGGTTCTCTAGAAGCTCCACCTCGAGTAGGAAACTGCACATACTCTGATTGTTTCGATGTATACAGATGTGGGAGAGGAGGACACGACAAGATAACTATATACATATATCCCTTGAGAGACTATCAGACTGAAACTGGGAATTCTATATCACAGTTTTCTAAGGAATTTTATTTAATATTAGATACTATAAAACATAGTAAATATTACACACCGAACCCAGAGGAGGCGTGTATATTAGTACCTAGCATAGATACTCTGAATCAACATAGTTTCTCAAGTAAACATGTCTCACAAGCATTGCAGTCCTTGCCACAGTAAGTAGAACTGAGAATCTTATAGATGTACAAACAGAAATATTAAAATATTATTTTCTATCGACAATTTATGAACAAATTATAAAATACATATAAGATTTTTTAACTGTTTTTGTTAGTAATCTCAGGTTAAAAATAATATGTAGTTTAAAGTCAAAATTAAAATGGGAATTTTATATTAATCTGTGTAAAATGATAATTTTTGTTTTTGTTTTGTACTATGGAACATTTCAAATGCTATCATTTCTTAAGTTTCAAATACTATCCATAAATATATATCTATTAATATGTTTTTTGTACATATTTTTTTTTCTTTAATACTTTTTACAAAATACATATATAATACATAAATACAATACATTTTTCATGTTACTATTTATTTCAATATTGTTTAGTTTTATTAAACAAGGTTTGAATTTTTTTTTTTTTTTTTTAATTTTAAAGATTTAATATGCTTTAATAATCAATGCTAGGATGTTAGGGTAAACAAAATAATTTTATCACAAATAATGTACCATATGTCACTTTGTAATTTTATGTAAAACTTTTTCAACAGTTGGAATTATGGAGAGAACCATCTCATATTCAATATGCTGCCGGGTACAGCACCAAACTACAACACCGTTGTTGATCTCAACACTAGCAAAGCTATTATAGCAGGAGCTGGATTCAACACATGGACATTTAGATATGGTTTTGACGTATCAATACCTGTATATAGTCCTATGGCAGAAAAAATTGACAGTACACAACCAGAAGAAAAGAAATATTTAATTATTTCAACGCAGCTCAATATACCACAACACTATTTAGAAGAATTACAGAATATTGCATCTTCATCCAATGATCTGTTGTTGTTGGGTAGATGTAAGACTGAAAATACAGACTTTAGTAAACGTTGTGAATACACAACGGGTAGACAGTTTGAATATCCAAATATATTGAAGGAAGGAATGTTCTGTTTAGTTGTAAGAAGTGCAAGATTAACGCAAGCCATATTGATGGATATTTTAGCATCTCAGTGTATACCAATAGTGATTGCCGACTCCGTAGTAATGCCATTTAATTCTCACATAGATTGGAATAAATTAGCTCTTTTTTTACCAGAGAATAATATAAAAAGTCTGGTTAAAATAGTGTATTCAGTTAGCAAAGAGAGACGTGGAGAATTGTATTGGCAACTTCGCTGGGCGTTTGATAGATATTTCGCTAGTATAGAGAAAATAACTTTGACTGCTTTAGAAATTATAAATGAGAAAGTGTTCCCGCTAGCAGCTAGGATGTACGAAGAATGGAACATGCCAGAACATTTGGTAAGTCTATTTATTATACGTATTATAGATATTTATCCTGGTATTATCATAAACATAGTCCTTAGCTATTGTTAAGGCGGTTTCAATTAATTAAAAAAAAAACATCATTATGATAAGAATCCCTTACGACAATTGGTTTTGCGGTTTTAATTTATTTTAATATCGTTTTTATTATTATCTGTTCGTTTCAATATGTACCTACAATGTGTGAGTAATGTAACAAAGTATGTCGGTTTTTTGCTACATTATTTATACTCTTGTCTTAGGTCGTAGCATGCTCGGGGACCCTTGAATAAGTCGAGTGTTGCGCGTTGTCTGTGTTGTATTGCCGCGGCAATTACACGAACGCCCAGACGTCAACTGACATCCTTATACGGTGTAGTGAGTGTAGGGCTCAGACAGAGAAAAAAAAAACGAATTCTTGTAGGGATAAGACACATAATAGCATACGCATATCCCGTTTTTTTTAATATCGATTTTTGACTTTATCATCTTTGAGCTAATTTGGACTTAGTTGCGAAGATCCGAGAGTTGTTATCTTCTATTCTAGGCCTTGGCTCCCTTATTTGAGTCCAGTACATTTTTTTTAATCCAGTAGGGGTCGAGATTTACTTTAATAAGACTAAATCATTTCATTTCATCATATCATTTCAATGCGTGACGAGAGCGTTACGAAAAGTGTGACCGGGCGAGACGAACGGAAGTTGAAAGGGAGATATAAGTTAGTGAAGATAGAAAGAGAGAGAGTTACGTTTCGTATATTATCGTAGGCGGGAGGGAGAGAGAGGTGCGAGCACACATCATTCTCTCTTTCTCTCATAGCCAAGAAGTTTTACTTCAGTCGTGTGGTCTAAAGCACACTCGTTTTTTTTTTTAAATAAACGTTAACTATCTCCAACTGCACGTGCTTAGTAAGTCGTTGCACAGCTTTTGTTCGAATACTGTCTGATATCAACATTTGTCAAACGTACTTTTCGATTGAAACTTACACTGTACATCATTCAAAAGCGTATAATAGTCCACTGCTGGACATAGGCCTCTTCTTACGAAGGAGGTTTTGGCACACTATACCATGCTGGCCATACGGGTTGGTATAGGGTTTGTTTCAAGTTTTCCTTCTCTTTCAGTGCTGTTGTCGGCTCTTACGACACCCACGGGATGAATAGGGGTAGTGACACTCCGTATTCTTAATCCGTATAGTTAAAAATATTATATGTATTAAATTATATATCATATACATGAACAGCGGTAACCCTAACATGGCCATTATTGTTAGTGCCTGAATTGCTAATCCATGACTTTATTTCACTTGCAAACATTTTAACTGAAGTCTGGGACACTTTAAAACCTCGAACACGAACATTGATTAGGTTTTTTTAAATCTTTATTAATATTAATGTCTGCGCAATAATTTCTAATGGGTGGGAATCGAACCCACGACATGCCTTAGCAGACAGAATCACTAACCACTAGACCAACAGGCCAGACAATTTAATGTTGTACATCATCATCATCAAAAACTTTTAATAGTCCACTGCTGGTCATATGCCTCTCCTTAAAAAGGAGGTTTTGGCCTACTATACCACGCTAGCCAGACGGGTATGTATAGGGTTTGTTTCAAGTTTTCCTTCTTTTCCTACCTTAACGCGTATCGAGTAATCTACCTCGTAATGTGGAAAATTATTTAATGTGTAGTTATATAAAATTCTGTACAGTTTAAAATCTGTTTAGCCATACAAGATTCTTGACATATTGATAGTGTGGGTTATCGTCTGCGGTATTTCCGGACCGATACGGCCTTCAAGAAAAGAGCGTACTCCTTCCTAAAAGGCCGGCAACGCGTTTGCGACTCCTGAGTCACTTTCCATTAGGTGACCCGTCTGCTCGTCTGCCCCCTCAGACATAAAAAAAAAAAATCGGAAATCTACTTTAGCTACTACATACCCTACATATAAAAAAAAACGTTTTTTTTATTTCTGCCATAGATGTGTATGTTGTATCAGTAAAAGCCACTAAACGATAAGAAATAGTTTTGTCCAGCTAGCCTTTTTTTCTTTTTTTTTTTTTTAACGTGTGGAAATCCCCTCGGACCGTCACCCCTCCGGGGTTTGCGGCGGGGTGGTGTGTCGGACTCGGACCGACTAAAACCACACGGTGTGCCACTCTGCGCCTGTAACAGGAGGGATCCGGGAACAGCTGTTGTTAAGACATCCGGACCCCTCCTAGCGCCAGCCCGCTCCTGGTGCGGGCTCCGTCTCGATATTGTTCCTCTCTTTAGGCGGCGTCCGGCACACGCGGACGCCGCCCCCTCGCGGCTGGCCAAACTAATGCGGGTGGAGGGGAAACCCACCCCGTCCACCCGCGGCCACACTCAGGGCGGCATGAGGCTGTGATAGGCGGGCCTCCGCCGCCCGGTTCGCCGGCGGCGGATCGGGTCCGAGTGGAGGTCGTCCTCCCGGGCCCTCTCCGCCGCCTCCTTCCGCGAGATTACTACCTCGCAGAAGGTTGCGACCGCGGTAAAACAACTGTCGCTACCTTTCGCTATCGTAATTTTTTTTGCATCTTCATAAAAATCTGGGTGCTTTGATAAATGAGTCTCCAACATGGGAATACTGTTACTCTTAATATTAGTTACATAGGTATTTATAATCACTGATCGTCGGTTCTTGATCTTGGGGCCCTTGACCCCGTGACGTGCATCGTCAAGATGTTCTGGTTACTCATACGAAATAATTATATTTACTCATATACTGAGGCCTAATTCAAATCGTTTTTATGAGAATACGAATCGAATAATAATTGTTAAACGTAATCAAACATTGCTTAGTCTTTCTTCTAAAACCCCCCTTCTTTGATGATAGACAAAAATCCGTAGATTTAGCGAACGCTAATTCTATTCGACCTTAATCTAAAAAGCTGAAAGTTGTTTATGGATTCCTTTACCAACTTCAAAGGTTTTTATTTACAGGAGCGTACATTGTAGAATTTAATATCTAAATATAGTGCGGATTTAACTGAGTGAATGAATTTTTAACTGAATTTAGTCGCGTAATTTCAACAGTTATCTGTCATTTCAAGATTATATTTTCATCTTTCTACGCTAATCGCTATTGTTTCTTCTCAACTTCAACTTTTGGTTAATGGCTTTGTGGTAGAGTGTAACCACAATTTCGCCAATGTCATGTATTTGAAAGACAAACTGTCAAAGGATTTTATGTAGAGCTGTGGTAGAGTCAAAAGAAATTTTGAGAATGAAAGAATAAGAATGAAAAAATTGTTATCTTTTACAGGCATGATAAAACTTGTTTCTTCTCTACGGCTTCTTTCACAGACGTCAAAATGTTTGACGCGTATCTTTCAAGGTGGCGTCCATTATAGATTTTATTGCCCATTATAGAGTGTGTTGTAGAACTTAATAGACAACATTTCTACAATCATCAGCTATTGTAAGACAACTATCATCTTCTTGAAATACTCAGTAATTACTCAGAACAATGTTTATTTTACCTCAAAAATACTTCTAGTCGTCATCTCTGGTACAAATACAAGAAAAAATCGTCAAATCGTCCACAATATCTAGCAAGTACGCTTGTTCGTATATTTCTTACATCACTTCACTTGTACAAAAAAAGCGAGCTGCTCTAGGATCAATTTTTAGGGTTCCGTACCTCAAAAGGTAAAAAAGGAACCCTTATAAGATCACTTTCTTGTCCGTCTGTCCGTGTGTCAGATTGAAATTTATACGTGATACTGAGGTCTATGGTGGTGGTCTATATATATATGCCTATTAGGTGTATAAAAATCAAGGTCCTGAGTCAACACGATAAAAAGAAATGGGCAAATTTCGATTTTCGCGAAAACTTGTAAGTACCAAAATTTACGTAAGTACTTAATTTTCAACTTTTTTTATTTTTCAGAATTTTCTCTTTACTTGTGCTGTAAGACCTAGAATCACGAAATTTGGCAAAAGGAAACATCTTACAGCACAAATAAAGGAATAATTCATAAAAATAAAAAAAGTTGAAAATAAAGGTAAATTCTGGTACTTACAAATTTTCGCGAAAATCTACGTAAAATCTGGGTAGGTACGGAACCCGAACGAGGTCGACTCGTACCTGACCGGTTATTTTTATTATTATATACAGTCTACTAAACAGAAATAACAAAGTAGTTTATTTGCAATAATATAAAAATTCTGCCAGAGAATATAATAATTGACTTTCATAAAAACACTCCGGTCTGTATCTTTAAAGATTAGACAGAATCGTATTAAACATTATTCGGTTGTAATATTTCTTTTAAATATAATTATTTGAATAAAATTATAACAAATAACAGAGATATTTGACCAAGAATGTTTTTTATTCCAATCTGATATCTAAAAACTTAACTAAATAAGATTTTCTTTTTAGATATAAATTATTTTAGAAGTCATATCACAGTCCCTTCATAAACGAATAAACATATTTACGAGAAAAGTTACGAATATAACTTTTTTTATTACACTCCACAAAATATTATTATTGTACTTATTTGATAGAAACGAAATTAGATTTGTTTATATTACGCCAATGACTTTACTTGTTTTTACTTTTTTCTTTCAAAAAACAGTATGGCGGTTATTACCTGCGGCGTTAAAATGTCAGTAAATTCAAATATTACATTATTACTAAGGCGAATCACAAAATTAGTAATACTACTAAAATCTAACAACCTACTCTTAAATCTTCCACTAGAGTTCCTTTTTTATTTTTTTCAAATTTGTGAACGTTTTTGAACCGTTTTTTATAATTTTATTTACGTGTTTAGATCAACCCAGCAATTATTCTATGACTAGGCAAATTATTAGTCTTTTTGTAATACATATACGTACACGGCCTTGTTTTCTCCGCAAGTAATTATAAGAACCCTACTTCATACAAGGAGATACTTCTTTTATGGCCTAGGATTCTTGTGTTGTACTTGTTGTGATATTTTTTCTGTAGTACCTTATTTCTTTACTAGAAATGTCGCAAATATCTTATTGTATTCATTAGGATATTTGACTACCCGCATTTTATCTATTGTGTTTTTATCCAAAAAGATGAGTACGACGTATAAAACTAGTCTAACATCCTTCAAAAAGTAAGAAACATTTTTTCGTTTTCGGAGCAAATAAATTATTAAAAAGGTTTTATAATCGATAATTTAGTATTACTTTGCCTTGCCATATAGTGTGTATGTGAAGAAGGTATCGTTTTTATATTAACCTAACATCTTCTTTGCACTATGAAATTAAGAATAGCTTGAACAATAT